AAGGATATTATTTATGAAGAATCTTTAGAACAGAACAGCAGCTTTCCCTTCTACCTCCATTTGATATCACTGTCCACCCTATAGTGTCTTCCTGAGGCATCTTAGATCTTTGGGCCTGGGGAAAAAAGGAAGGTAGCATAGGGACAGTCACCTCTAGCTTTCAGAGTTAAAAGTATGAATCTGCTTTTGCTCAAAATTAATTCTTAGACTATGAAAATATATAATGGAGAATCTGACCTAGTCTTACCTAGCCTTCAAGGCCTTGAATAGGAGACACTTGGGTTTTCATCATCAAAGGAAGAGAGCTTGAGTTAACTGGGCAAAAGTGGTGGGATCAGTTATGGTTGTAAAAGGTATTATAGGCAGATAGAAGAGTGTTCGAAGGCCCCAGGAATGAGGTGACGGGCTTGATTCCATCACTGCTGGACACAGTAACACACAGCAGGCTGTCAGTTGGGAGATGGATTGGTCAGTTGAGGGATGGATGGGTGGGGTAGGGTATTTATTTTGGCAGAGAGGAAGAAGCTGGCCCCTGAAACACAGTGATATCAGTATCTACATGATGATGTCCACATCATCAGGTGGTTATTAATTTTATATCAGTATTGAGTTCAGTTTGATCTGACAACATGCTCCTCCATTATTACATGTTGACCCCAAGGCCATATTTTTAAACTCATTCCACCCTGGGAAGCACCCTAGAGGCAGGAGCTGAAGTCAAGAGCTCCAGCAGTGTGGGGATTCCTGTGGCTGACTGATTCACAGTGACCTAGCAGGAGGCTCAGCTGCCTCCAGGAATGGAAGCAGGAGGCTCAGCTGCCTCCAGGAATGGACAGAACAAAAAGTGACAAGCCCTTGAATGCCAGGAATACCAGGTCAGTCTCTTCCTGTTTGTGGTGTATCTTTTAGGCTCAGCTCCAAAGTGACAGGGAGAGCAGAATTAACAAATCTGAGCTTGACTTTTCTGGGCAGAGAACTCCTTGTCAGTGGTGCCATCTGCAGGGCATTAAGGAATTTGCCAGGAATTTGATGGGACTGGGAGGGGAAAATGGCATCTCTCTCCTCCCTCCCTCAGACTCTTAACCTGAGCATGTCCCTAAATCATAGCCCTGGTCCCCCATAGGGCTAAAAGACCCCTATTTCTTGTGACTTTTTGGCAGGCAATATTTAAGGAACCTGGTCCTACAAGGGCTGTGGTATCACTTCCCTTCTTCCCTGCCAACTGAATCTGTCCTCTGTAAAAAATGAAGTGGGCTCCTCCCATTTTAAGGTCACCTCAGTGAGGTTGAGAATACTGGGTTGTGAAGGCACTTAAGCATTATATTATGGTATTAAAATTTTGTAAAATGTGGACTTCCCTGGTGGTGCAGTGGTTAAGAATCTGCCTGCCAATGCAGGCGACATGGGATCGGGCCCTGGACTGGGAAGATCCCACATACCGTAGAGCAACTCAGCCTGTGCACCACACCTACTGAGCCTGTGCTCTAGAGCCTGTGAGCCACGACTACTGAGCCCGCATGCCACAACTACTGAAGCCCACGCGCAGCCCACGCGCCTAGAGCCTGTGCTCCGCAACAAGAGAAGCCACCGCAATGAGAAGCCCACGCACCACAACGAAGAGCAGCCCCTGCTCGACACAACTAGAGAAAGCCCTCACGTAGCAATGAAGACCCAATGCAACCAAAAATAAATTTAAAAAAATTTTTTAAATGTGGGTGGGTGTAAATTGAAGGTGTTGATGTTAAGGTTAATAATCATTATCATCAGTATCATCACCCTCGCCATCTCTAAGTAAACACTTCTTGGGCTTTATTTCTATTTCTTTTCTAAATGGTTCATTCTTCCTTGGCAGTGGCTCTGGTGTCCTGCTGAGCAGAGCTGTCAGGTCCTGGGGTACCCTGCCCCTCACTTCCCAAGCTTGGACACACAACTCTAAGCTTACAAGTCCTTCCAGACTTGATTGCCCTATTTGCCACCCCTCAACTCCCCACACACCTGGGAAAGACAGGATGGAACTCTATAGAGCAAAAGGGGAAATAGGCCCAGAAGGTTCAGGGAGCACGACTAGTGACAGAACAAGGAATCAAGTGTCTCAGTCAATCTGTTTCCAAGGCCTCTCTACCCTGAGGCTCAATTTCTCAGAGGGTGCTAAAAGAGACTTGGGCCTGGAAAGAAAGTGAATGTGTTTTACAAAACCCTAGAGTCTGCTGTTTATGTTAAAGAGAGCAATAAAGAATCTGGCTTAAGAGTGAAATAATCATTATTTATTTTTACTTCCATTAAAGCACTCTGAGCCCTAAACCTTACCAGGCACTGCGATTGCTGCTGGGGCAAAGATGTAGATAGTTAAGACTCCCAATCCCCCCACCAAAGGAATGCTTGATGGCATTTCCTGGTTGCCTCAGCATTTCAATATAACCATTTCCCACCCCCATGTCCCACACTTAGTATCTCATATTACCAAAGGCTTTGACTACTACCTGCTAGTTATCATCTTGACCTATAAGACTGGGAACAGACGAGACAGGGGGAAATACTGAATTGAGCAAGTCAAATCAACAACCAAATAACTAGGGTATAAAGGGGACTGGATAGTTTAGGAGTGTAGGTAGGAGGTGTCTGTTCTAAAAAACCAGACACTGAAATTGGAGTTTGAATTGTAGAAAATGGAAAATCCCTTCCCTCTATAGGTTTCCTCTTTTAAAAAATGAAATATTTCAAGCATACAGGAAAAAAGGATAATATAATTGGTATTCTATTTGATAGAAACATTAACCCTTAGGGTTTTGTATATAACTCCCACTGATCCTTGCCTCCTATCATTGTGTAGTTTCCTCACACACTGAACAGGACTGACATGTGTTACAAATAGGATATTGTAGAAATGAGTGTGACTTTCGAGGTTAGGTCATAAGACTTTGTGGTATTCAACTTACCTTCTCTTAGCTCACTCTGGGGGAAGACTGCTCCCATGTCATGAGGACACTCAAGCAGTCCTATGGAGAGGTCCATGTGGTGAACTAAGGCGACCTGCCAACAACCAGCACCAACTTGCCAGGCATGTGAACCAAACCTCCAGCTCCAATCAAGCATTCAGATAACTGTACCCTCAGTCAACATCTTTACTGAAACCTTATGAGAAATCCTGAGTCACGACCATCCAGCTAAGGTGCTCCTGAATTCCTGACCCTCAGAAACTGCATGAGGTTTTATCTAGTTTTTTCTTTTTTAAACACATACATTAAGCCACAAAGTTTTGGGGCAATAGATAACGGTATTGAAAACACCTATGTACCTACCACCCAAGCAGTCATAACGCTTTATTTACTACAGATCTTTTCTTAAAAATAAACACCCCTCCCCCCAAACAAAAACAAAAACAAAAAAATAAAAATAAAACATTATAGTTGAAACCCTGGCTTCTTCTCTATCCTGCCCCTGCCTTGCGCCTCAGAACTCCTAAAAAAAAAAAAGCACCATGGCACACTGGATACCTAGTGTGTGCTTTTCCTGAAAAGCTCTTCTGTTATTGTTTCCCGGGCTCCAGCCTAGTTATCTTTCCCTCTTGTATTGCAGAAAAGAACAGAACGACTTCCCAAAGGTTCTTTAGTCATCTCTCAAGATGGTCTGAGAGTTCAACAACTCAAAATCCTATCTGCATTTGGTCACTAATTCCGTTAGGGTTCCCCTCAGTGCTTTAAAGCCCTGGGATCTGCCTTCCCCTGGGACCTGTGGTATCTGGCTATATGGGTGTTGCTGTGCCACCCAACTGATCTTTCTCTCTCAAATGTCTATAGACTGACTTTTTCAATTGAGGACAGCTATTTTTAAGTCTATAGGATTTATGGACCAGGGAAAAAACTGATAAAATTTTGGTCTTCTCTACTCTTAAACCAAAACATCAGCGTCTTCAGACCTTAATAATCCCTGTGCTTCCTGAATTTGAAATGTACATCTTCTTGGAGGCAAATGAGATGCAGAGGATTTAACCTATCTCTATAGTCAACTTTAGATGTAGTCAAACTATACACTGAAAAGAATGTTAACTATGCCAAGTGCTATAAATTGTAAACTTTTATCTTAACCTTTGCAAATGTTGCCATTTCATCCCTTGTAAAGCCCCCACTCAGCCGCTTTCCCACACATGCACATAGCTTACTCCCTTTTTTTTTTTCTATACTACGATTTTTGATCACCAGCATTCTGATCCTGCAACTTTTCTTCTCCCATCCTCCCTACAGGCGGGAAACAGCTTTTACATCTTCCTGCTCAAATATTCTCCAGCCTGATGTTTACCTGTTCAAGGATCACTAAGAATTTTTTGTTCCACTGATAGGTTAGCAGGCCTCTTTAAACAGCAGTATTTGCAGCATATTAAAAACTACTTCCCATACCTAACTTGTAATTACCCAGTAACTTCAAGATCTAGATCAGCAAAACCACTCTCATCTGCATTTACATTTTCCCAAGCCCCCTGACCTGGATTTCAACACTGGTTGATCAAAGAGTGGATGTATGTGTAACTGATTCACTGTGCTATACACCTGAAACACAACATTGTAAATAAACTATACTCCAATAAAAGTTTTTTAAAAAATTAGGTGTACATCTGAAAACAAAGAATCTTGGTTAAGGTGAAGTTAACAGACCCGTTTCAGAATCCAGCTCTTCTGTTTTTTCAGACCAATGTGCTCCTTCCCCCCCCCATAGAGATTTCTAGAATGAAATCCTTGATATTACCACCCTGTTGCAGAGACTTTCAGGTGTAGCAGTGGTAGCACATCTTGAATTGGAGAAACCAATTTAGAAGAACAGAACCTTCTTTCTTAAAGCCTTTACTTTTCAGACATGACAAAAATCTTACAGGTACACATGGAAAAGCAATACATGATCACAGTTGAAAGTGAAGACAATCTAATCAGAAAGCTTTTACTCCTGTCAGCTAATGTTGAAGCTCAAGTTCTGCATATGACATGCTGCAGGGCTGAAAGGAACGGTAATTAGTATTCCTCTCCTTCTTCCTCTCCCTCTCCCTCAACAGAATCCACACCAACCTCCTCATAATCCTTCTCAAGGGCAGCCATGTCCTCACGGGCCTCAGAAAACTCTCCTTCCTCCATGCCCTCACCCACGTACCAGTGAACAAAGGCACGCTTGGCATACATCAGGTCAAACTTGTGGTCCAGGCGAGCCCAGGCCTCAGCGATGGCTGTGGTGTTGCTCAGCATGCACACAGCTCGCTGTACTTTGGCCAGGTCTCCACCAGGTACCACAGTGGGAGGCTGGTAATTAATGCCAACTTTGAAGCCAGTGGGGCACCAGTCCACAAACTGGATGCTGCGCTTGGTCTTGATGGTGGCAATGGCAGCATTGACATCTTTGGGAACCACGTCGCCACGGTACAACAGGCAGCAAGCCATGTATTTACCATGGCGAGGGTCGCATTTCACCATCTGGTTGGCTGGCTCAAAGCAAGCATTGGTGATCTCTGCTACAGAAAGCTGTTCATGGTAGGCTTTCTCAGCAGAGATGACAGGGGCATATGTGGCCAGAGGGAAGTGGATGCGGGGATAGGGCACCAGGTTGGTCTGGAATTCTGTCAGATCAACATTCAGGGCTCCATCAAATCGCAGGGAAGCGGTGATGGAGGACACAATCTGGCTAATAAGGCGGTTAAGATTCGTGTAGGTTGGGCGCTCAATGTCAAGGTTTCTACGACAGATGTCATAGATGGCCTCATTGTCTACCATGAAGGCACAATCAGAGTGCTCCAGGGTGGTGTGGGTGGTGAGGATGGAGTTGTAGGGCTCAACTACAGCTGTGGAAACCTGAGGGGCTGGGTAAATGGAGAACTCCAGCTTGGACTTCTTGCCATAATCGACAGAGAGACGTTCCATCAGCAGGGAGGTGAACCCGGAACCAGTTCCCCCGCCAAAGCTGTGGAAAACCAAGAAGCCCTGAAGACCTGTGCACTGGTCAGCCTGTTACAAAAGAATAGGAAAAAAACATAGTTATTGCTCTTTGGGATACCCTCATAGTAATCATAATAAATATTTTCACTTTTCATATTAACTCCAAAGATTTAGGTTGTATTTTGACAAGAAACACTTTTTTAAAAATGTAGACCTTCCTTAAATTACTCAGCATTTCTTTATTAAAAATATCTCCATTAATATTTATAAAATGACATCAATAGTTCATATTTTAATTGAACTTAAAAAAAACTTTAAAGGAATAATTAACCTCACTCTTTATTACATTTCAATTCTGTATTTGGAAAAAAGAGCATATTTCAAATATCTCCTTTAGATTCATTAATTTACTTTATTCTTGAGAATAAACATACCAGTTTCCGAATTCGGTCCAAGACGAGGTCAATGATCTCCTTGCCGATGGTGTAGTGACCTCGGGCATAGTTATTGGCAGCATCTTCCTTGCCTGTGATGAGCTGCTCAGGGTGGAAGAGCTGGCGGTAGGTGCCAGTGCGAACTTCATCTGGAAAAGGAAAACGAAGCAGCCACCCATCACTAACAACCTGCACAAGTCTGCTCGACCCCATGGCATCAATGGAGCCCCCAGGATACACCTCCTGTTCCGGATCCCCGGGATCTCATTAGGATTACTGAGGTCAACTCACCAATGACCGTGGGTTCCAGGTCTACAAACACTGCCCTGGGCACATGTTTGCCAGCGCCTGTCTCACTGAAGAAGGTGTTGAAGGAGTCATCTCCTCCCCCAATAGTCTTGTCACTTGGCATCTGGCCATTAGGCTGGATGCCGTGTTCCAGGCAGTAGAGCTCCCAGCAGGCATTGCCGATCTGGACACCAGCCTGGCCAACGTGGATGGAGATGCACTCACGCTGTGAGAGGGAGAAAAAAGAAACATTAAAAACCAATAGTGGGGCTTCCCTGGTGGCGCAGTGGTTGAGAGTCCGCCTGCGATGCAGGGTACACGGGTTTGTATCCCGGTCCGGGAAGATCCCACGTGCCGCGGAGCAGCTGGGCCCGTGAGCCATGGCCGCTGAGCCTGCGCGTCCGGAGCCTGTGCTCCACAACGGGAGAGGCCACAACAGTGAGAGGCCCGCGTACAGCACAAAACAAAACAAAAAAACCCCCAATTAGTGGTGACTGTGAAGCAGAACAAAATGTTTATGGAAACAATCTTACAAATTTCCTTTCAAAACGAATTACAGTGTAATGCTTTTTTTCTTAGTCTAGGGGAGAAGGGCTATACTTTTTATCTCCATTAGTTTTAATTAATTTCCTCTTCCCCTCTAAATTGGGAAGGCCTCTTTCCAGACCAAGAACAGACCTTAGTCATTGCTTCCTCCTTTGGAGGATCAAGATACGGAGGAGGTCATCCATCTAGCGCTCAGGCCCCAGAATCCCATTTTAGAGTAGGTGGCCAGATTTCTGGGCAGCTCCCAACACGGGAAGCACGTGGCCAGAAGAGTGCAGAGGAAATGTCTGGCTGTAGAGACAAGGGGTGGGGCTCTGCGGCAAAGGATGAATGAGCAATTCCGGGTGCGCGCGCCCGCGTCCTCCCCTCCCCCCGCCGCGGTTCGTGGAGCCGCGCAGCTGCAGAGGCTCTCAACAGCCACGTCTGCAGAGGCGCAGCCATGCCCAATCATCCTCCGCTTCCCGTAGGCATTCAGTTCCGTCCAGCACCTCCACATGTGTCACGACGCAGCAGGGGATTATCGGCGGCCCAGAGCTGGACCAATATCCGATTTCCGTTCCCTCAAAACCCCTCACCGCTACCACCTGCTCCCACACGCATTCCTAACACAGCAGAAAGCAGGGAGGGGCAGACGGCCTCTACAGGCTGTTGGGAGCTAGCTGCCCTAATACACTGGCGTAGCGCAGTACTTGTGGAGAAGGAGTCCTTCTCCACATTCATCTTACTGTTTTTATTTTTTAAAAGAAAGAACTCAGGGTAACAGGAGACACGCCCTCCAGCCATAGACTTGCAGCGCGCGTGCGCACTGCAGTGGCGGGCTCCCGTCCACTCCCTGGCGGGAAGGTAACGGTCGCGCGTGCGCTTTTGTGTTCAGCTCCTTCCCGCCTCCGCTTTTCGTGCTGAGGAGGAAGTGAGGGAGGGGAGAGCCGCGCGCGCGCTCGCCAAAGGCTGGGGGGAAGAGGGGGATGGGAACGCGCGGGAAAAGAATGCAGTCTTCAGGGCACCACGCCCAGGAGTTAAGGGCTAAATGAGAGCCCCAACCACGGTGAAGGAGATCTAGTGTGCCGCCATCCCCTTCCAGAGTCCCAGAAAAAAAGGCGGTGGGCTCCCTCCGTTCCCTCTTCCCGGGCCCCAGCCGTTCTCCACAAACGGGATCTATCTACTCTCATCCTCGGCCCTCGCCTCGCTGTTCGCCCTCCAAATGAACAGCGGTGGCGCCAGCCCGCTCTAGCTAGAGGCCCTCCGCGCTTCCCCGGGCTCGCTTTTCCCCGTTTTCCCGAGCGAGGCCGGCGGTCCACTCACCATGGTGGCTACGGGTCAGCAGGCGCAGGCAACAGGAGTAGACACCGGGTCCCGGTTACCGTCCTCGACAAGCTAAGAGTCGAGGTAAGTAACGCACTGAGGCGAGGGCGGTGCGGGAGCCACTTAAGTAACGGTCCGGGGAGGGGCTGGCGGGCACAGGCGGTGCCATGGCCGCAGGCCCCTCCCCCGGTCCGGCGTACCCACTCGGCGCCCGGCTCGGCCGCCGCAGAGGCGGGCTCCTGGCCTCGAGCCCTTC